CTTGAAATACCGACGAACATACCAATTTATTAAATAGGAAGTATTCTAATGCGTCGGCGAAAGTAGCTTAACGCCAACCAAGCGACTTTATTTTTTGCCGGGTCGCGTTTGTGGTCACGTGAATAACCGAATGACGTCATAGCAACAAGGAACTTCTAGACGCTCTCTGTGAAATATCGTGGGCTGATAAGCATATCGTCTTTTACAAGCCCTTAAAAGTAAGCCGGGCTTGATTGTATCACTAACTTGCTTTATTTTCTCGCAGTAGAATAACCTGTGCTCAGGCGTTCTTTTTTTAAAGAAACCACCAAAGAAGTACGCAGTCAAAAGAAAAATAAATTTGAAATTTCACAAAAATGAAAATTTCGAATTCGTGACATCCTGCCACACTTAGCAGACTTCCTTCCACGTTATCTTGTATTTCTTCGATTCCTCAAATATTTGTTTTCTTTTGGAGGCGTAATTAAAGAAATATAGTATGTAACCGAAAAAGAGATCTTCCGATAATCAGCCTTGTCCGTTTTAAGTCTTTTTTAAAGTAATTGTCGAAATTATTGTCGAAATTGTTACATCCCGCTAAAAACAAGCGGAAGGTATAGCACAAAAATTGATTGTTTTGTCTTTGAAGAAGCCTTTACGGGGTTTTGGTTTTCCAGCTGAGTAAACAACAGGGATACGTGGCATAAACAAATGGAAAGATCGAAAGAATTTCTTTGTTTATCCGTAAAAAGGCCTTTGCATTGTTTTGTTCAGTCATTTTTATTGATTGAAGTACTGCAATTCTTTCTGGAAAAGGATTGAACCGTGAACTATGTCGAGATTGAAGAGCGAGAAATTTAGTTTGAAATGGTTTAATAACTGCTTTTATGCCAAGACGATTGGCCGGTTAGTTGTCGTCAGTTCAATTGAATTCTTCTCTTTGAATAAACAATCGCACGCGCGCGCGTAGCATTTCCAAGTGCATCTGCGCCATAACACGGGTGTGATCATGGATAGCAAAGAGATGAAGAGGTTTTCCCGAAATGTCCCTGTCAAAAACGAAACATAAGCACTTTCCGTAAGTTAACTTTATCGACGAATGCAATTCAAAGTGGCACACAGCGCTACACAGCAACAAGTTGTTTTTATTTTCAGTAGCCTGCGTAGCAGGCGTATAAAGGGTAGGGGATGGGGGAGGAGGAACAGAATTCGGGGGAAAATTCTCTTGCTCCTCCCCCACCCCGTCCCTTTTATACGCTTGCTACGCAGGCTATATTTTTAGTTGTCGGCTGACATTTTAAAAATTCTGTTCTCAGTTGAGATTATCAGTTGGGGTTAGGGTTATAGTTAGGGTTATAGTTAGGGTTAGGGTTAGAGTTAGGTTTAGGTTTAGGTTTAGGGTTAGGGGCTAGGGTTAGGGTTAGGGTTAGGGTTAGTGTTAGGCTTAATTGTCAGCTGAGCTGGAGAAAATTTTAATTTAAATGTGTGGAGGGATTAGACCTTTTTACCTGTGCGACGCTTTACGACTGATTCATTTAAACAAAAAAATAAGCCCCTCCGCTCGATCCTCATGCCGAATTTCTTAA